ATATATCTACATTGATTTGGTAGCTACCTACACCATAGTCTATGAACTTAAACAACCGTCTTACTATTGCTAGATATTCAGAAGTTATTTCTCAAGAACATACCCACCAATGATATATCTCATAAGGGGTTAATAGCCAAAATGAATGAAGAACTTTTCTTAGGGGAAGGGAGGGAGTAGGGAACAGAAACACCTATGTGTGAGATAAACGTTTATCAGTTGCCTCTCATGCCCGCAACTGGGGGACCTGGCCTGCAACCCAGGCCTGTGCCCTGACTGGAAATGGAACCTTCATCCTTTCAGTTCGCAGGCCAGCACTCAAGCCACTGAGCCACACCAACCAGGGCAATGAATTTCTAAAACTCAAACCAAAAAAAAATCCAGTTAAAAACATGAGCAAAGGACATACAAATGGCCAATAGACAAGAAAAGATGCTCAACATCACTAATCATGGAATGCCAATTAAAGTCACAATGAGGTAACACCTCACATCTGTGAGGATGGCCATCATCAATAAGTTGTGTTGGTGAGGATGTGGAGAAAAAGGGACGCTCATGCCCTGTTGGTGAGAATGCAGATTGTTCCAGCCTCCGTGGAAGACAGAATGGAGTTTCCTCAAAAAATTAAAAACGGGACTGCCTTTTATGACCCAGCGATTCCACTTCTGCAAATGTATCTGAAGAAACCTGAAACTAAAAAGGAGTGGGCAAAAGTAGGTTTACAGTTGTACTACAATGTAAATGAATAATAATACAAGAATAAACTTTAATATACAATTGTAAACCATTTTTTCCTCGTTAAATCATTTTTATTTTTCAAGTGTAGACATACATGTATATTATAGTAGTTTCAGGTGTGCACCCCAATGATGAGACACTACATGTGTAACTTAGTGATCATCCCGATAAATCTTGAAACAACAACCTGACATCATACATAGTTAATTAGAATATTGACTGTATTCCCTATGGTGTATTTTACATCCCCATGACTATTATGTGACAACCAATTTGTACTTCTTAATCACCTTTTTCGCTCATTCTCTCAACCCCCATCCCACTTGGCAACTGTCAAAATGTTCTCTATGAATCTGTTTCTGTTATACTTGTTCATTTATTTTGTGTTTTAAATTCAATTGTTGGTAGATATGTATTTCCATTTTTATTCATATTGTTTTTGTTTTTCTTCTTACAGAAGACCCTATAACACTAATTTGGTGGTGATGAACTCCTTTAGCTTTTCCTTGTCCAGCAAGCACTTTATCTGTCCTTCAATTCTAAATGATAGTTTTGCTGGGTAGAATTAATCTTGGTTATAAGTCCTTGCTTTTATCAGTTTAAATGTGTCTTGTCAATCCCTTCTGGCCTGCAAGTTTTCTGTTGCTGCTTTTAAGATTCTTTGTCTTTAACCTTTTGCACTTTAATTATGTGTAGGCCTCTTTGGGTTCATCTTGTTTGGGACTCTGCTCTTCCTGGACTTGTATGTCTAATTCCTTAGCCAAGTTAGGGAGGTTTTCTGTCATTTTTTCAAATAGATTTTCAATTTCTTGCTCACTCTCTTCTTCAGGCACTCTCATGATGCAAGTGTTGGGACACCTGAAGTTGTCCCAGAGCCTCCTTACACTATCCTCTATTTTTTGGCCTCTTTTTTTTTTCCTTTTGCTTCTTTATATTCCAAATCACTGATTTGACTCTTGGCTTCCTCTACTATTGATTCCCTATAAATTATTCTTCATTTCAGTTAGGGTATTCTTCATCTCTTGACTAGTTCTTTTTTATGCTGTTGAGGTTCTCACTAAGTTCATTGAACATTCTCATAACTGGTGTTTTAAACTCTGCATCTAGTAGAGTGCTTGTCTCCATTTTGTCTATTTCTTTCAAGCTGGGCACTCAAGGTGTGCCCTCAATATAAGCTGTGTTTACCCTCCCTTTGTAGTTGAGCCTTGATTGCTGTTGGCATGTCAATGGGAGGGATTTACCCCCAGGCTGATAGGCTACAAGGACTAGCTGCAACCACCCACCACTGACCCCAACCATAGAGGATCAGCAGTGCAGGGGCCGACCCACAGAGCAGGACTTTCCAGTGGGCCCTAATGCCCACTTAGTCCTCCTTTTGGGTGTGTTGCTTGAAGAGGAGGTCGGGTGGTGATGCTTTGATGTGATCTGAAGTTGTCCCCTGTCCACTGGCTCTGGGGCCTCCCAGGAGGTACAGGCCAAGGTCAGCAGCTCCTGGTGTTCTACCCAGGGCCACCTGGCATGAACTACAAAGTGATCTGCAATTGGCTGCTACTGTGCACTGGGCTTGGAGGTGTCTAGGCAAGGCCAAGATGCAAACCAGGGCTGGTACAGGGCACAATGAGTCCAGATACTATTTGAAGAGATTTTAGGAAACTCTGAAGCATGAGCCAAGACAGGCCATTTTTCTGGAAAAGCCATTGGAAACAGCTTGGGTGGGCCTGAAAGTTGGGTGGGAATGGGCCTCAGGGAATCACCAGAACCAGGAAAACGGTATGACCAGGTTGATGGAGTCTCAGATATGGTACTCACCTGCTGGCTCTGAGTGGAGAGCTCATCAAAGGAACAGTGGCTTCTGCCAGCACTTATGTCTGGGAGAAAGCTGCCCCCTAGCTCTAGCCCTGATACTGAATGATTCACTTCCTTTCCATAAGTCTCTGGTATCTTTCAAGGTATACGCTATTGCTGGAGCATAGAAAGATTGAGTCTGAGTAAGCCGGTGTGCTGACCCCTTAAGAGGAACTTCCTGGAACCCCAAAAGCCTCAGTTTCCCTCAACTTTTAATCCCTGCTGGTTTTAACAACCAGAAGTCATGGGGAATTCTCTTCCTTGCATGGAACCCTGGGATGGGTAGCCTGGTGTAGGTCTGGGACCCCTCACTCCTCAGGGGAGAACTCTACAGCCAAGATATCCCTCCCACTTACCTGCCACACATTGGGTGTGAGAACAGCCTGTTCTGTGTCTCTGCCCCTTTTACCAATCTCAATGTGACTTCTTTAACTCTCTAACTGTAGGACTTCCATTCAGCCAAATTTCCAGTGTTCTGTGTGATGGTTGTTCTGTAGTTAAGTGTAATTTTGATGTGGTTGTGGCAGGAGGCGAGCATGCCATTTGCCAGGAAGACTGTATGCCCAGCTTTGCCCACCCCTGTATATGCGCCCCTATGTTCACTGCAGCATTATTTACAATCACTTAGATTTGGAAGCAGCCCAACTGCCCATCAGTAGATGAGTGGATAAAAAAAAACAACAAAAACTGATACATTTATACAATGGAATACTACTTGGCTGTCAAAAAGGAGGAAATCTTAGCTTTTATGACAGCATTGATGGACCTAGAGGGTGTTACGCTAAGTGAAATAAGCCAGTCAAAGAAAGACAAGTACCATACAATTTCATATGTGTGGAATCTAAGGAACAAAATATACTAACAAACAAAATAGAAACACACATAGATACAGAGAACAGACTGACAGCTGTCAGAGGAGACAGGTGTTAGGGGGATGGGTCAAAAAGATGAAGGGATTAAGCACACAAAAAAAGGCAGACAACAGTGTAGTGATTGCCACAGGGAAATGGAGGTATGGGAGGTAGAAGAGGGTATGGGAGGAATAAGTGGTGATGGAAGGAGACTTGACTTAAGGTGGTAAACACACAATAAAATATATAGATGATGTATTGTAGAACTGTACACCTGAAACCTATATAATTTTATTAACCAATGTCACCCCCATAAATTCATTTTAAAAAGTTTAAAAAGTTGCTGGATTGGCCAAAACATCCATTACATTTTTTTCTGCAAAATAAATATTTTTCTTTTTCACCAATAACTGTACTGATTTGGATATTTTGACTATGTCAGCCATCTCCTGCTATTGGCTTCTAGTGGGTACAGGCCAGGGGTGCTGCTAAACATCTTCCAATGCATAAGACAGCCCCACAGCAAAGAATTATTTGGCCAAAATGTCAATAGTACCAAGAGACTTTGCAAACCACTTTTGACACATTCAATCAGTCACAGCACCTTCTCCATACACTGCACAAATCTTTTTTTTTATTTTTACCTTTCTTGAAATAATAAAGCATAATATGCTGAAAATGTTGCGTGTCTTCTTCCATCTTCAATATTAAATGGCTACACAAATATTTACCAATTTTGATAGTTTTTTTTTAATGCACACTGATATGACAGCTGTCGCAATACAATCTAACAAAATTGTTTCAAATGAAGTTCAAGACAACTAAGCACTACTAGAGCCATTGTACAGAAAAAAACTAAATCAACTTTTTGGCCAACCCAGTATTTCTCATTTTACACTCCTAGGAATAAAGTTGTGGTGAATGCCCCTACGCTAAAGTGTTTGTATATCCAGCAGCAACACCAATGGGTGTTTTCGTGTGTGCTGTAAGTTGTGCTTTGATAGCATGATTTTCTAACTCCAGGGAATTTCATATAAAGAACCTGTGTCTTCACATTACATACTTAATAATTATTTGAGTCTTACGTCACAAGTACAATTCCCTGGTCTCTTGGGGCTTACATTCTGTTACAGAAAGGCAAATAAATAACAGCGTGTTACATAGTGGCTAGACTCGGTTAGAAAAAGCAGGTGGAAGGTGATGATCGCAGGGGAGGTTTGCCACTTTAAATGAGAGGGTGACTTTTGAGCAAAGGCTCAGAGTGAGTCTATGGATGCTTGGGGCCAAGTATTTCAGGTAAAGGGGAAAATAGGAATATATGCCCTGAGACAGCACTATGTTTGGTATGTATTGCATGCAAATGAGAAGGATGTAGCTTGAGCACTGGGAACAAGGGAGAAGAGTAGTAGGTAAGATCCAAGAGGTAACTGAATACCAGATGGTATAGGTCAGTTTTGCCCTTGAGTGAAGTAAAGCACCATTGTAAGATTCTCTGGATATGGTTTTGTTTTGTTTTTTTGTTTGTTTGTTTTCTGAACAGGTTTTATTACACGAAGGGGATGGGGCTCAGTCCTTCTTGGCTGCTGCCGTCCTCATGGCTGCAAGGACATTGCTCAGCTCCTCTCTCTTCCTCTTGGCACGGATGTGTGTCCCCACCCTTTTCTTGATGAATTTCAGGGCCCGCTTGACCCTAGAAACTTTGAGCAGCTCCATGGCGCGCCGTTTATAGGGGGCAAAGCCACACACCTCTCGGATCGTGTCCCGCACGAACTTGGTGCACTTGGTGAGGCGCCCGCAGCAGCGGCTGTGCCTCGGCTTGCTCACGGTCTTTGTCACTTGGTGGCCTTTGTTGAGACCCATAGCGGAGGGCCCTGGCTGCTGTTTCTCAATGGCTAACGCGGTGGAAGGGGCCTGGATATGTTTTAAAGGAGGGATTTGCCAACACTCCTGAAAGGCGCCGTGGGGGAAAAATAAGAATGGCTCCTAAAGGTTTTGATCCAACCGAAGCAGCTGGAAAAATGAAAATGTTAGCTGAAATAAGAAAAATATGGCATTTGGTTTGCGAGAACCATGTGAAAGAGTAGGTAGTTGGAGTCAGGAGCAAAAACCTGGGGCTGCGGATGGAAAACCAAAAGTGTATAAATGGGGTTCCAAACCATTAAAATGAACGGCATCATCTGAGGACTGGGGAACAATGAAAGGTGCAAAGACTAAAACCTGAAACATCCCAACCTTGAAGTCTCAAGAATTGAGTAAAGGAAATTAGAGGAGCACGGCATTCTCTGTTCCTGTGTATAGAATAAAGAAGGACTGAAAATTCACTTGGTGGTTAGCAATATGGAGGTCACTGAATTTTGCCAGCCTTTTTTTTTTTTTTTTTTTTTTTAATGGGTGTGAGAAGCAGAATGAGAGCTATCTTCCTCCAAAGGGTTGAGAAACGATAGGCTTCCCCTTTCCTCAAGGCCAAGTTAAGTGGCTTTTTTTCTAAAAACTGAGTTCAAGAAATGCAGAAGCTTTTAAAAACTGAGATAGATTACTTCCCTAAATGAGTAGCAGCTTGTGGTGTCTAAATGTAAAATTACAAATGTATCCCAAAAAGATTAGCAACAGGTTTTTGTTACTAGACCAGATTATTTCATGTCTTGAAATATGAAGTTCATATGAAAAAGTAAAAGAAACCAGAAAAACAGTAGAAAAGTAGTGATGAGGGTGGGAAAATACCAATCAGGTATATTTTTAATACTGTGGCTGCAGAAATTAAAACTACTGATTCATGAATAGCTAATTTAGAGGAACTGAGTGTGGAAACATCTAGATACACAAGAAACTAGAACAGCAAGTCCTCAAATAATGTTTTGTTTAGCACTTCATTATAATGTTTTGTTCAACAACTCCTTATGACATTACTGAGATGCCTTAAGAACTTAACTCTTGTTTATATCATTCAGCCTGTGGTTAAATCAGTTTTGTTATAACTAGTTCATTCCCTAAGTACTTAATCTATAGGGTAGCCCATAAACAAATGAAAAGATGCTACATATCTTCACATTCACTAACTTCACAAAAACCTAAAATACCAAATATCAGTAAGGGTGAACCGTAGAGGAACAGGAACTCTTGCAATGCTGATTTTGTAGAACTGCTTTAGAAACCAGTTTGCCATTACCTAGTAAAGTTGAACACCTATATATGCTAAGACTCAGCAATAATTCTCTTAGGCATATACCTTAGAGTAACCCCTTATGTGTACCCCCAAACACAAGAATTTTCATATCAGCACTGTAATAGCAAAAAATAAAAAGGAACAACCCATATGTTCCACAGGGTAGATGAATTTTAAAAATAGTGCTAAAAATAGTAAAGGAGCCAGTTTTAGACCTACCCAGAAGCCAACTATATAAAATTCAAAAACAGACAAAATTAAAAACTAGGGATTCATAAGTGTGTAATACAAAATGAAGGTGGCTGCATCTTAAAGGAGAGCCGAGGGTGCAATCATGAAGAGTTTGAGCGGTGGGTACATTTTATTGTTATTTAAGTGGTACATTAATATATATACGTGTATACAACTTTACACATGACTTCATAGCACATGCAGGTAAACATATACAGGCATACCAACTTCCCTTTATTTTATTTTATTTTATTTTTTTAGCAAGTCCATCTTGCAATAAAATCAGTCCTGAACAAAAAAGGAGGCAAGATTATGGTTACACTTCATATGTGTTAATTCAAAGTCATTTCAATTCAGTATACTTATGAACTAAAAACCCATGAGAGCTTTTGTTGTAAAACTTCTGAAATATTCAAATACTTGCTACAAGGCCAAGTGATACACTATATTCACTTTTTTGGCATCTTTACTGGTAAACTTCCCTAAGTACATTATTTTTACATTTTCTCTTTGAAGGCACTTTTTCTCAAAAAAAATATATTTAATATGTCTTAACAGTTATTTCCTTATCAAAACTAAGATGTCCAAAAATTTAACTTTTGCTCAAAAACCCTTTCTTTATATGTAAAAAGAAAAATTGATGGTTATTAAACCTATCATCCACAAACACTAGGGCTTTACAAACATTTCTGTTTTTGTTAAGCCTCATCCTTTTTGTCAATTGCAGGCATACACATTTTCTTTAAGGTTCTTAGAACTTTCATTTTCTTGAGATCTTAAGACTAGCTTAAACTATATAACACGATGTATAAATCAAAATATTTCCACTAGATGGAGCCATTTACCTAGTTTAACCCTGAAATATTAGTGTTTTGTAGGAGTACTTGGCATACCCATTTAATGAGCAGATTTTCACCATTTAAGCTTAACTCAATTGACGTGACATTGTACATGATAATAATCTTTTGTGTATGTATGTATGTATGTATGGATTTTAATCCTCACCTGAAGCTATGTTTATTGATTTGAGAGAGACAGAGAAACATCGATTGGTTGCCCCCTCAATACGTGCCCTGACTGGAGATAGAATTCACAGCCTAGGTATGTACCCTGAACCAGCATCGAACTCGCTAACTTTTTGGTGTATGGGGCGACGCTCCAACCAACTGGGCCACTTGGCCAGGGCTACATGAAAATAATCTGGAAAATGTTTTTCTTTAGAGCAGTTTTTAAATTCCAGTGCCATTCTCCCTTAGAACACAGAGACTCTTTAAGATGTTTCCTTAAGTACAAATACAGAGTTCACAATATAGGCAGGACATCCCAAACTTTAACATGCACATATCACCTGACAATCATTTTAAAGTGCAGATCCTGATGCAGTCAGTCTGGTGGGGCCTAAGTATGAGTTTCTAACAGGTTCCCAGGTGATGTTGTGCTGCTTGTTTATGGACTTTGAGTTAGCAACGACCTAGAGAGTTCCTAGGAAACTAAAGTGACATCAGGGACTAAATAACTTACATGTAAGTTTCATAAGGGTGGCAGGGGGTGACGTGAGGGTGGAGGTTGTATATTTTGTTTGCTTGAGTGTTTGCAGTGCCCTGAGCAATTCCTGAAACAAAAGTAGATGCCTAATAAATTTGCTCAATGAATGAACAAACGAACAAATGAATGAATGAATAAGAACAGTGTTTAAGTGCTTCATATATATAAATTTATGGAATCTACTTGGTAGTCTATGAGATCAGCTCTATTATTATTCATGCTCATAGAGAAGGAAACTAAAGTTGCATAGAGTGGAAACAGGATTTCGACTCAAATAGCTGAACTTGTCCGTCTGGCTCCAGAGCTTATGCTTTTAACAAAAATACTGTACCACCACTCGCTTTTAGGTAGCCTTTCATTGACAATGAATTAAAGTCCCAGGCTGATCCAGGCCTTCCTTTCTAAAGGCCTGTTGTACTGTATTTGTTTACAGTTACTTGTTCCTGACAGGTTGTGGGGTTTCCTATGCTACCACAGGGTCCAGTCGATGGGCGTCAAGACTGCACACTGTCAGTGGGCAGAGCATTTCTCCAACTCTGAGTCGCCTTACGAATTAGGGGTGGGAGAGAAATGAGAGACGTTCAGCTAAGACCTGCTCAGGGTTCATGAAGGAACAAGGTGGACTAGTCCTTGCCCTGTTGTCTAATTTAGTTAAGTCTTATAGTTTCATCGACCAAAGGAATGAGTTGTCATGATCCCAAATTACAGATGATTAATAAAGATAGGAGCTGCTCGAGTGTTCCCTTGTCATCCAGCCCAATGGAATTATTTAACATCTCTTATCTTGCAGGTCTTCTGCTGGGCCAGGGTTCTGAGCTGGGCCATCTCTGGCTTCCAGTTGGGAATTGCTATTCCAGTTATATCATCATATTATCAGAAGAAAGTTTTACTTTACATTGTTGTTTTGTTTTTTCTTTTCTTTCTAATCTTCTAGAGCTAACATTTGATCTCATGTGCAAATCTGGTAAAAAGGAGATGGATCCGTGAAATTTTTAATCTACCAGAAGTCACTTGGAATTTAAATAGGGGTGGGGTGAGTTGTGTTAAAAAAGTTAGTTTACTATGACTTGAACAAACTTGTTACAAGAAATTCTATCTTATATGCTTTCTGGCTGAAACTTACATTCTTGTAGCTTTGCATTTAACATTGAATATTGCAGTAAAAGTATTTTTATTATGGCCATGGCCAGGTAGCTCAGTTGTTTAGAGTGTTGTCCCACTTTGCCAAGGTTGCAGGTTTGATCCTCAGGCAGGGCACAAACAAGAATCAACCAATGACTGCATAAATGAGTGGAACAACAAATGAGAGAGAGAGAGAGAGAGAGAGGGAGAGGGAGAGAGAGTGTGTGCCTCCCCCTTCCTCCCCCTCTCTCTAAAATCAATTTTTAAAAAAAGAGTTTAGGAAGACCCATGGATATCTCAAAAGCTCCTATCTTCTTCTTAGGAAACATAAAGGACTGAGCCTGTATAAGTACAAACTTGCATAAGACCTTTTCCCTATCTTTTGGATGTTTTTGTTCCCTGCGGTCCCCAGGTCCCCAGAGCATACATTCTCCGTCCTCCTCTCCCATGATAAGTAATTAGCCTAGCCCAGCACTTGGAAGAAATCTTTACCATGTTTAAATTGCTTCCTTCCTATAGATATTTTGGGCCTAACCAAATTTCCACACGTTTCTGTGTCACCCGAAACATCTCCCCACATCCCTCATCTCTCCTTCCACCTTTCTCTCAGCGCTCCTGCCACACTGACCCCTTTGCCCCCAAACACAGGAACGGAGGAAAGCCTTACAGCCTTTGCACCATTTGTCTGCAGCGTTTGAACTGCTCTCCCCTTTTTATTCACTGGCTTCTGTAGGGCATTCAGACTTTAGTTCGAATGCTGCCTCCCCACAGGGACCCTTCCTCACCACCCCAAAGAACCTCCCAATAGTTTTCCCTTGTATCTCCTTTTGTTTTTCTGTAGCACATTTGTTTAGTCATCATGTCTCCTGAGTCTCCAATCTTTGAC